TTCGATTTGAAAAGCGCAAACTGTTTGGGGTCTACGGTGGTGTAATTTGGATGGCAGGCAATGGCAATAGCAAGTATTCTCAGCGATCTATCTTTTGCACACGTAGAATAGCCTAGCTGAACTTCTTCGAGAGTGTGCAAGTGTTAGGGGAAACCATCAGCTCATCTAGAAGAGGAACTACCTGTTCTATGCCATTCCATCTACCAAAGAAAGCCGTTGCAGACCCGCTGCGGACTGCAGGCCGTCGCGAGCACCGGGGGCGCGACTACCCTTGGAGAGTAAGGTCATTTGCATGAAGGAGATCCGACCGGTGATTTGACGACCGGTGATTTGACGATGCTTGTACCCCACCCAGGCATGGTTAAACCCAAATCAGGGGATCAGAGGCAGGGACTATCGACTGACCGTGACTATCGACTGATTTCTTTGAGGGGATTTCCCGTATGGGTCAACATATGGGACGAGTCAAAGCCTGGACAGGTCATGATATTGCAGGGATGAACATATTTTTACATGCTCCCACTGTGCAAAGGGCTTTGATGCACACCCACAATTCAATACCAGACCCTTTTTCCTTCACGCGTAAGTTATTCGTGTTGTGTACACAGGCTTCTTGAGATTTTTCCCTGTGGTGCCAAGAAACAAACATTGAAGGCCGAACGGACCCTGGATATCCCTGGATAATCTCATGTCTATATTGACCCTTTCAAGGTCCAGTTGGCTAAAAGGAACGATCATGCAATCACGGATCCCAGTCAGTGTGCAATCCAAGGGGATCATTTGCTTGACATTCTCGAATCTTCCTTAGATCCATGAAGAGAGTCGCAGAGTCGTACGCAGAGTTGAAAACACCGACCCCTTTACGTACGCATTTGTCGCGATGCAGAAACATCACGACCCCAGGACGCAGACATGAACGCGGATTCCAGGGTTGGCTTGCTGCTTGGCACGACCTGCCCTTGGCCCACCCAAACACGTCAAGCGAAGAGGACGGTGAATGCATTGCCGCGGGAAAAAGTGAGGATAGTTACATGCGTTTCACCTATCCTTGGGAAACGATTTAGTGTTTGGATGTGTTTGGATGTGTTTGGGTAAACAAATGGTTTCCGACCGATCATTGGGTCACCTCGTCGCGTCAAAAGAATCCCAATGATCCATGCGGGGTGCCCCAAGGCTGAGAAGGTGCCCCCTGCACAGTGCCCGGACATGACCGGTTTTGAGAGTGACAGGTCACTGTGTCACCACAAGACTCAGACTGAACTACTATGAAGTCAATCAATTTGTGTCATAAAGTCCGCAGACATCTCACCCCAGGGTCACTCCGATGGGTTGTCTTCCCCGTCCACTCCGCCGATGTCATGTCTGCCGGCCAGCGAGCAGCGAGCTTTGAGGCTGCGATGTGTGCTCGACATGCATCCGCAGAATATGCCGGAACAGCCACGAACGCAGATGCCCCACAGCTTCCAGGCGCTCGCCATCGACGGATCGCTTGCGGGAAGGAAAGGCGATATCGCCTGAGAGCGGTTTCAGTTGCCGAATTGACAGCCTCCACGATTTCCACAGGCGTTGAACACAAAGTATAAATATATGCGGTTCGTCCGCTGGGCGATGGACTTCCTTGGTGTTTTGTTTTTCATACTTTCCCCAGCAATAGGCTCGGTTAGGTTAGGAATGCATAGGAATGCATTGGGTGTTGGGTTGACCCTCTTTCATTTGGATATGCCAAAATGTTATCAAACTATCAGTTTTCTTCGACCATCCAACCTTTCCAGTACTTCGTTCTGCACTTTCGGTCCCTGCCTTCTTATAGTCAATCGTTAAAGACTGGGAGACCCTCCGAGTGGCGAATGGACGGCGACCCTCCGAAGAATTCACGGAGACCCTCCGAATTGACGTGGGCAGATTCGTGTGTCCATCATCAACGTGGACAACATCAAGGTCTACAAAGACTTTGGCCAGCGAAATGTCCGCGCCTTGAGTGGACAGATCATCTGAAAACACGAGATTTCTTTGACCCATTTTGAACACATTTTCATACATGTTTAAACATGTGCTTGTGAAGGTGCAACAGAATCACTGTGTTTGCTTGGTTAAGTACTAATGACCATGCAGGATTATACTTCTGCTTGCCCGAGTGAAATGTCGAACCCTTTAGCTGGATTTTCATTGCACCTTCCACTTCCAGCTCTGACAAGTGTGCAACTCGATTGGAGTATATACTGTAACTTTTTGGGCATTTTACTTAAGTATGCGGCATCCATTCCACACATTTCTGGGAACGGCTTGTCACAGCTAAACGCAGCCTGTCTTGCTCTGCGCATGCCTATCTTGCACGTCTCCAGGACCTCTTTGTTGAGATGAAGTTCAGGACTGCTTGCGCCGCTTGCGTGTTGGAAAACCAGCACGCTCAAATGGACGACCCTATGACAAGTTCAGTTGTGGGGTCTTTGTATCATTTGCTTCTCGTATAAATGGGGAAATCCACACACTTTGACAATGGGTTTGCAGTTATATAACTCAATTCCTCAGGGAAATGGCTGATGGAACCGCAAGGTGAAAGGGTCAGCGCACTTGAAATGTTTAACGCAAGTTTTGCGTGACTGTGGAAGCTAGTTACTGCATTAGCACTTTACTGCAAAACGGTAAGGGGTCCGAAGAACAGAACTGTTTAACAAACTCACTAGCACTTTACCAAAGCTAAGGAAACCTGTTTTGGGGGATATCATGCGAAGAACCACCATGGAAACAAAAAAGGCACAGTGGAGTCACAGCGTAAACAACAGTTTTTAGCAGGTACGTGGAAATGGCGTCCCATTTCCATATCCTCGGATGCATCGCCAGCTTCGTTGACCAGGCGACGATGCATCCTGCCTGGTACCAAAAGCGATTACCTAGCACTCTAGAATTACTGACTACTTAGCAGAAATGAAGTAACTGCAATAGTTAGGGAGCGGGACTTTAGTCTTATACCGCCCGGGTAGAGTAGACTAGAAAAGGGACAACAGAGGGAAAGGCACCGACACACAAGTGTGTCGAGTACCATTTTCCTCTGTTACCCTAATTAGAGGGGGGAGGGGTTGGGGTGTTTGGGGTAGAGAACACGTCGGGGCTTATTCTCAGTTGACCCGGCGGTTTGGATATCAGTCGCAAATCCGTGAAGCCCGGCGGCTTTTGTTTTCGAGAATACAGTAAGTGAAACGAAAGTCAGTTAAGATAATCCAACGCATGCAGAAAAACGTTGAGTCAGTTACACGGTAATCCGGAGTGAAGACAGCGCCCCCTTGCGGGGCATCACACCCTGCACCCAAGTGGGACGGCAGAGCGGCACACACTTTGACAATGGGTTTGCAGTTAACTCAATTCCTCAGGGAAATGGCTGATGGAACCGCAAGGTGAAAGGGTCAGCGCACTTGAAATGTTTAACAAAAGTTTTGCGTGACTGCGGAAGCTAGTTACTGCATTAGCACTTTACTGCAAAAACGGTAAGGCGAAAGGGTCCGAAGAACAGAACTGTTTAACAAACTCACTAGCACTTTACCAAAGCTAAGGAAACCTGTTTTGGGGGATATCATGCGAAGAACCACCATGGAAACAAAAAAGGCACAGTGGAGTCACAGCGTAAACAACAGTTTTTAGCAGGTACGTGGAAATGGCGTCCCATTTCCATATCCTCGGATGCATCGCCAGCTTCGTTGACCAGGCGACGATGCATCCTGCCTGGTCCCCTGCGATATGAACCGGACAGAAACTCTTTGGAACAGAGTGTGACACACACATGAACGAAAAGACCAGTTTCTTCATGTCTCTTCCATCAATGGCTGCTTGGGGGATGGGGAAGATCGCCCCAACATCGATGCGCAATGGCAATGACTCCTCGCCCCAAAATGAGGCGAAAGGTCCGGTAGCACGACTACCCTTGTCTTGTGAAAGGGCAAGACACCTCGGAGAGGAGCGTGAGTATGGACGGTACGGAGCAGAGACGCAACGAGGCTGGGAGAGATGATAGGCAAGGAAGGGGATGAAACGTGGCCAAGCACTGGCTTGGGCCCAAACAAGGATGCCATTGAAATCTGCTGGTGAACATAAATAGCTCTTGTGTTTCACACTTCACAAGGTCTTGTTTTTGAGCCACCACAGTTTAGGCGGCTCGCCAATGAAGTGATGTGCATCAATCGGAGCATGGAACATCCTCATGCCTTGGGTCTGTCCCATTACCTGTAACAGTCAGTAAACAAGCAAGCAAATCACTATTTTAGAGATGTCGGCCTTTACTAAGCATCATCATCCAGTGTTGCTGGTAATCGGATAGACCCAACTCATGCCACAAATGAACATTCGCCCGAACTGCCCAGAAGACGGACATCCACGGTTGGGCTCATGACACGGCCAGCTTCAACCAACGCTTCTTGCAGCTTGGCGAGCTCAGGGCATTCTCGGTGATTGATGATCCGGTTGGGGGAGACTTTTGAATAAACACATATATATATATATATAACCATGTTTAAAGTGGAAGGGATTGCAGAGATGGACCTGAGTTGAGGAAGCTTGACAATGCTCTGATTCTTTCGTTCTGATTCCTTACCCGTGTTGTGAGTTTGGAACAGGCGATGTTGAAAGTCATTTTCATTGTCAAGGCTGCCCCGTTCACTGACATGTCCTAGAGGTCCAAGGGGGCCCTCCAGACACAGCCGGAGTGGATGATGCGGTCCGCCCCCCGCCGCGGCCCGTCACCGGTGCTCTCAGAGGTTTAGCCTGGGCTGGCGCGCGCCACACGTCACCGGTGCTGAGGTTCAACGTCATGGCGCCCACGGTGAAGTGTGGCCTCGAGTTCTCGCTCATGGACTTCGATCGAGGTGTCAGCTCTGTGACTTGGAGGTGTAGATCTGGAGGTGTGACTGGAGGAGATCTGGAGGAGATCTGGGGGCGAGGGGAGGGACGGCGATGCAGGTGGATGGGTGAGTGGCTTTTGGGGGGAGACGTCCTGAGTGGGTTGGAGGATGGTGAGAGTGGCAGGTTTTACTGAAAGAGGGTACTCTTGGAAACCTGGGAATGTCAGGAGCCTCCTGACTGCCTCAGGTCTACAGCAACAGATATGGAGGGTCACACTCTAATGGTAGAAGGGAACACCAGGCGCCAGGTTGCCTTGGGGAAGATCAACATAGCAGTGATTCACGCTTCTTGAAGGAAGCAGAGAGGAGAGCTGACTTTGGGAAGAAGTACTCTTGGGGATGTTTATATATGTTTATACCTCATTTGGTTTCATGACTCCCATGTCCCTTCCGCACCCAGTCCGCAAAGCCGAAATCAAAGCCACATCCCCTCGTCCCCAGTTCGTCCCCGGTCGCCGAGGCGGACTTGGTCTATTTCCCCCAGGTCTGGCGACGTCGTTTTGGGTTCACCATGGACCACCAGTGGTCCATCAGCCTCAGCTTTGGACAGTCGTCATGGTCCGTCCAAGCTGGACAGTCGTGCGCCGCCAGACTTTCTCCTTGGACCACCTGGTGGATATGGCCTACGATGACTGGAGCAACAACAGGCGGTCCCTGCTTCGCCTGTGCAGCGTCCGCCCGAGGCAGGTGAAAAAGGCAACGAAGGTGGCAGCGAATCTGAAAAAGCCCCAAACGGCTCGATAGAGAGTCCCCAGGTTCCATCTGGTGGTTCTTCAGGCGTCACCGAGGCATCTCAGGTTCAGTTGGTTGGTTTCCTGATATCATACATTCCCAGATACGCCGCCAACCCAGGACGATCTGGGACCATCCTCCGCCTTTCCTTCCGTCCTTCGGCCATCAGGGAGCCGGTGGGCCTGGTGGGCGGCAACGTGGTCTTCGACTCCTGGCCGTCCACGACCGCGGAATGGGGGGGAGGGTGAACAGATGTGGCTGTGGGATGCTGCGACTGAACAGCACCGGGCGAACCCTGGGTTCAAACATGAAGCGAATGGACGACCTGACAGGAGGTCAATCTACCCTGGTGGCCCTGGTGTTGGGGATCTGGGCCGTTTTTCGACCCACAGCCAGATCTCAGATGACGTTTTTCTGACTCCTGGCCGTTGCAAGCCCCCCGCATCCTGATGCAGTCCCACCGCGGTGGTCTGCGCGGTGTTCCCCATGAACCGGGGTGGGAATCTCGCAGGAACATGGTCTTCGAGGGTTGGCAGTCGACTCCTCAGTGGGCTGTGGAGAAGGAGCTCGCCCTTGTGCAGTTCAAAGGGGAACTGAGCGTCTAGCAAACATTGCTCCTAGTAGTAATGCCCTTTGCTCCTAGTAACATCCTGCTTCTAGTATGGGCAGGAGCCTCCAGTAGCGTCCTTTGCTCCTAGATAAGTAGGTTCTCAAAGGAGGACGGGGTAGCAGAGCAGGACCTTTCAAGCGGCAGTGAGATCATAAGAGTGCTTCAGTGCATGACTACTGGCATCCTACTCTTCTTGACTTCACATGCTTTCAAATTTTCAGGCGACCTCGCGTTTTGTCAGACAAACGTGCTGTGAATGTTTGACAAACTCGATATGGCTTTTGCATTGGTTGGTGATGCCTTGTTGCTTTAGTTGTTTAAACATGGCAGGGATTGGCAGGGACCTTTGTTGGTGGTGAAACTATGTCGTAAAACTTTAGTACCTCATGCCAGACTATGTATCGGCTCGGATGACAGAAGGATCCATCGCAAGCACATGATTCATGGCGGCTGCAGGCGACAGCTCTAAGCCTTTGTACAGTTCATGAGCCATTTTGGTCGCTAGGCGCCGCTGCAGATGCATCCGAAGGGCTCAGCAGAAGGCCGACAGCTGTTTGTCGACATGAGCATGGAATGAGGACCTGTTTGGCACGTCGCTGCGGGATGTGTATGTTCAAAGGTTGAAGTGCTGTTGGTGGAACTCCATTTCACACATGCGCACGAACGAACAATGACGGCACCCTTTTCAGTCTGATCGGAAGATGTCTCACGGTCTCCAGGGAAGTGCTGCCAAGATGAACTTGACGGTGGGCGCCTAAGCAGGGCTTTTCCTCGACCACAAGGGGCAGGGTGTGACTGACCCAGGGTATAGCACTCACCGCACAGCTGCTGAATATGTCATGAGACTCTTCCTGCTTTGTGCTTCAAGTAAATAAGCCCTCAATGGTATATATATATATGATCATCTGGCGCGACACGGACAGAAGAGTTTGGGGTTCACCTCGAGAAAGAATTCCTCGACACGCACAAAGTCAAAAAAATGAGAACCTTGAACAGGTGGAGATCAAAACTTGATCCCCGATCTGTTACAGTTGCATCAATTGCTTCTTTTTCCTTCCAAATCCAAGTGCACTATCATGAGGTGTCTATGTCCATTCCTTCCCGCATACTGCTCCTCGAAGAAACCACCCCTGCGCTGTCCGAGGTGGAGATTCTCCCGTCCGAGCTGGCGGAAGCTGCGCCCGTGACCTCGGGCGTCTTCGCGCCACCCAAGGCAGTCGGCCGAGTCGCGGGGCTGTCGGGTGAAGACCGAGGTTCAACGGCGGATGTTTGAGGTTTTATGGCGGATGTGAAGGGGCGGTGTTGCATGGGTGTGTGGCGACCAACGGTCAAAGTTCGCCTCCGCACTTGAGAAAGAGGCAGGTGGTTTTTGGTTTGTTGAGATACGCTGTTGCCAAGACATGGTAATTAAAGACATGGTATTTACTCTTCCTTGCGTGAAGACCGACATTGAGCACTCTGAAGTCTGGTTTCCAGTTACCATCCACTCAACACCCTGGTGTGGGTGTGTGCAAAAGGGATTAGATGAGTGTGCCTTGTTTCTGAGAACTTTCGCCTCCGAGCTCTTGGGGAAGTGAACCTCAAACCATAAGCTCCAAACCATGAGAAGCTGGATAGGTCTGAGAAGGTGCTCACATTTTTAGAGGATGTGTTGCCTTCATTCATAACATCTTGTAACCGCTCATAACATCCCATAAATCACCACCTTAAGAAGGATTGAGGGAACACTCCTTTCACTTGCGTTCCTTATGACTTATGACTCTATACTGCCAATGTTGGGACTGGTGCTCCAGTTTTTCCACACTCCGGCAGGACCGACTCTCCATACAGATGTTGGCATGGAGCCTGGCAGAGAAGTCGAGTCGAGTTGCCAACTTTGAGCTTTCTTTCACATTTGATAGGCGCTGTCTCGAAATGAGCCCCCAAAACCCAGTTCGACAGGCCAAACTACCTACTGTATACTAATACATGTATACATGACAAATGTTCTTCTCCCAGCCAAAAGCAAAGAGGGTCCCCTCATTTGATTCACAGACATACATGGACATTCCGCCTCGCCGATGTCGCTGTGAAGACTACAGCTGTTTGGCTCTCTGAAGCCATAGCAAGCTCCATGGAGCCTGCTCCAGAGGCGCTGCAGATGTGTGCGAAACTATCTAATCATATCTAATCATATATATAAGATTATACAAGGAAAGCCCTGATTCATCGTTGATGAGGATGATCCGAGTTCATGCTCAGAAGCTTGTTTTGTCACTTTTGCGCGTACCACGAATACGGATCGCAGAAATCCGGCCCCACCAGGGAAACAAACACAAAGGATTTGCAGCAGGATGTCCTCCTCCCCGGTGGCTTTCCGGAGTTCTTCCGCTGAAAACCTGCCCAACAAATGAATGAATGAAACGACATGACATGACATGAAGCGAAATGACATGAATGACATGAAAGACACAACGAACGAAGTCATGAATGAAAGAATGAAAGAGAGAGAGAGAGAGAGAGAAAGAACGAAAGAAGGAAGGAAGAAAGGACATAAATATATAAAAGAAGCAAGAACAAAGGAACAAAAAGAAAGAAGGACATCATGAAAGGCGGAACGAACAAACACCCATAGCCCTGCAAAAAAACCAATCCTTTTGTAGACCCTGGGAGAGTCTTTCTCGGTCCTCAGGTGCTCTCCTCCTCCGTGCCGAGCATCAGTGACACGACGTTGGAGTCCATCCAGCGCGCGAACTTCAGCGGCAGCAAAGCCTTCGAGGGAGTGGATCCCTTGAGGAAGTCCTTGAAGGAGATTCATCACTGACAGTTTGGTGAGTTGATGTGCAAAAGTTGGACAGGCTTATATCAATTTACGCGGTATGAATATATACAAACCTACCAACGAATCAACCTGTTTTGCTGTGTCCTAGCGATTTTATAGACCTCGGGAGTCGATGAGATGAGGCGTCGGGGCTTGCTTTTCGTCAGTTCCTCCTTTCGCATTGGGCTGTCGGGTCCATAGGGCTGGAGAGGATGTCCCGCCACGTATAAAATGAACAATTCAAAGTTGACTTGAGGGGATGTTGACCGTCTAGTGTTTGGTCAGTCAGAGTTTTGACTCATCACCTGATGTCAGCTACCTTATCCAACGAAAGTTGTCCTACCTGATAGACCATGGAACCAGCCTTGGTTGAAAAAAACCTTTTCCGCATGCAATGACAACCCATAAAATTCCCAGCTGGGACACAGCCCTTTTTAGTTGCTGCCTTGAACTCCAGCTAGACGTCGGCATCTGAGAATCTCGGCCTTGAAGGAATTGGACAAAGAGCGCTCGGCGGTGCATGGTGTCCGGGATGACACGAAGGAGTTGCAAAGCCTCTTTGACTGCTGGAAGAAGATTCAAGACGCTGCAACAGCGGCACCTGAACCTAAAGCAAAAGGAAGTTGGTGGGTTTCTTGGCTGGGTCCTGAACAAATGCGTCTAGTGGCCCCTGAACAGATGCAGAATGTATCACTTTTGTGCAGTCTTCACACGTATTTGGATGTTCAATTCGATCAAACATTCGCAGCCTGCAGGGCCGGACTTTCACCAAAACTTATGAGACAAAGACGGATCCCGGGGGTGCTTCGTCGGAGAAGGAGAGAGCACAGTTCGACGAGTCGGATGCAGATCCCACACATCTGACCCGCCAGAAGCTCGAGGCACAGTGGCAAAATTTGGCGCGTCGAAGGGACGTGGACTAGAGTTGTTGATGGCGTTTGAAAGGTCTTACGATGAGCATGTCTCAACATGGAGGTTCTTGTGCAAGTGGGTGAACTATATGAACACATATATATATATATATATTTGCTTTTTGCCAAGAGGAGTCTGAAACATGAAGATAGATCGTTTTTAGTACACATTTGATGCTGCAGGCTTTGCTTGTCATGTGAACGTTCATGTTGACGCTTGGAGGCAGCGGTCAATCAAGTCCTGGCTGCTGTTGACGCGACTGAGACCTCAGATTCAAAGGTCGCGCAAGCAGTTGAGAAGAGACGCAGTGCCAGGGTTGAGCACATCAAGAGGTTGGACGAGATTATGATCTTGATTCTAAAGAACTGTAAAATCGACAAATACGAGGAGTTTGACAGGCTGATCAAGTCCAGCGAGGATCACTTGGCTGAGCTTAGCGAAGTGCTTACGAAAGCATCTAAAGCAACAGAATCTTTGACAAAAAGGCTTGGGAAAGATCTTAGCGCAACGGTGCAGGAAGGCGACTTCGTTGAAACCTGGGAGAAGTTTTGGAGAGACTTCGACCAGAGCGTGGTGGTGGAAGAAACCAATCGGGCCCTCGAATCGTTCGAGTCCATCACAGCCTTGCCTCATGTCCTTGAATGTTTGGTGGTCCCCCAAACTTACAGTGTGCAGGTGTCTTGGGTGCCAAAGGAGACTGGGGGCTTGCAGAACTTGCGTGAGAAGATGGACAAAGCTCAGGAGAAGTTGATCAGCGAGAAGGAGTTTTGGATGCAGGACAGCTTGGCGTCCTCGCTTCCTGCCAGCCATTTGTTAGCGGAGGGCCTGCGAAAGCGCGAGCAGATCCAGGGAGACCTCGAACTGTGTAAGCACGCAAAGAAGACCTACCAGATCCTCCAGCAGGAGAAGCAGAACGCAGAGTCTTTGGAAAAGATGTACAATGAAAAAGTCCCACCAGCCAAAACGCAGCTGACGAATGCAGCCCTTGATCAACAGAAGAAGCACAACGCAGTGAGGGCAGCCGTTGATGACTCTGACCTGTGCCAGCGGGAGCTTGCATCGTTGCCCGCGGACAAGAAGAAAGCCAAGGCCAAAGAAGCAGATGCAGCAGCAAAGAAGGTCAGTGAGGCAAAGAGGAACAAAGAGGCCGAGCATCGGGCATTGTTCGTTGAGGTTTGAAGCTTCGCACAAAATCGAGCGCGCAGACGATGCAAAAGCAGCCACCACTTAACAGACACACAGACGATGCAAAGGCTCTCGCACCTAGTAGCCGTGCAGCCCTAGTTTGGGAGCGGGAGAGACTTCTGAATCTGAAATCTGTTGAAGTCTGCCCCCGCATTACATCTCCGTTCCATCCATTCCATTCCATTCCATTCCATTCCATAAAAGCTTCAAAATGAATCCGGAGTGGTCAGAGTGCACGCAACTGGTGAGCATGCCGCTCCTGGAGTTGCACATCGTTGCACATCACGCCTGTCTCGACGAGTCATTGGCCGGTTGATGTCCAACCCGCCTTTCATCCGGTCTGCTCAATGAATCAGAATCCATTTACCCTGCACTCATCGAATACGAAAGCCAGCCTTGCTTGAAGCATCTTGAAGCCACTCATTTGCAAGTCATAATTAGTAAGAGCCCGTGTCGAACGTCAGGCTTCGTTTGGTGCCATTCTTCGGATGGTGCCCCAGTTTGGTCGAGGCAGAATGAAAGATGGAGCAAATCCGCAAGAGTTCTCTTCGAGTCCCTGAGTGCCTTCTGCCCCAAAATGTGGATATGAATTCAGAAGCAGGCGTCCAAACATGACCCCACTAAACAGCTTTGCGATGCTTTGCGCTTTTTTGTCTTTGCTTGAGCCAAATCAAGACATCCTCGATTCCTCACCTGAGCAACGTCATAAACCTCTATGAATGAATTTAGGTAGGACTTAAGATTATGAATCTTTGCGAAAGGAAAACTGGAGTTGGGAAAGCTTGGCGAAAGGTTTGGAGAAAGGCCCTGAATTTTTGATGAATGGATGTTGTTGCGAAACGGTTGGCGAACGAGGTTTTCAGTACAAAGCATGTCATCTAAATGGTTGTTCTACAGCCCCAAAGGTTCCTGATAACCAGGCGAAAGGTTGGCGAAAGGTTCGCAAAGATGTGGCGAAAGCAGTGGTTGCAGATTAGGAATGATTCCCCTTATGCTGATACTTTTCTTAGATGTAAGTAGCCGAAACTCGCCGAAAGGGTTAGCGAAAGAGGTTGTCGAAAGCAACACATGCAGCCGCGAAAGCGTTGCGAAGGGATTGACGAAAGGTTTTTATATTCTTAATGCAAGTTCCGGGTGGTTTTTGACACCGCTCACCTGTCTCTTGCGCAATGTGCGATGCAGAAATCTCCACCAAACTCGAGTGCCTTCGCCTCGGTCTCCGGGGCGGCCGGAAGGACATGTCGTGAAACGGCCATCGAGTGAACGACGTGTCGCCCACACTCAAACTTGTGGTACAAATCCTCAGCACGTCGTTTATACTTAATAAGCTGGGATCTTTATTTTTTTCCGAAAAAGCAGTCTCTGCGATTTGTGCCAGGGGTTTTGAGGGGTGTACGCTTGCTGAATGCATTGTTGCTCATAGGTAGAGGCAGCTTGTGTTTCCGCCTGGTTGCAGGATGCCGACGAGAAGTTTCGTGAAGCCCTTGGCCCGCTGGCAGACCTGGCAGAGTTCTTTCCGGAGCTGTCTTTAGAGATCAGCAAGAGCATGAGGCTTCTTGGGATCCCAAGGGAATTGATGCGGGGCCGGGTGGACGGTCGCCGAATTTGGGGCGGCTGTGCCAGCTGGAGGAAGTTCGCAGAAGTTGAGGACTTTGCAGGAGAGCATCGTCATAAGGCCATGAAAGTCAAAGTCAAGCAGGGTAGCAATGAGGAGTTGTTTGCTCTGAAGGAATATGACTATGATGGAGGTGGTGGCCTTCAAACTTGCGTTCGAGAAGCAGCGCTGCTGGTTCGTCTTCGTCATCAACATGTTGTCAAGGTGGTCAGTGTCTTTGTCGACCCTAACAATTCCCGTTTTTACATGCAGATGCCATACTACTCGAACGGCTCGCTGGGAGACTGGATCAAGAACAAGAGCCCTTGGCTCAGCTCGTTCTGGAATGTTGATCATCAAAAGGTTGTATCTCAAAGCAGCCGGACTAGGTCCCATACATTGGGTACAACCGACATAGAGGGCAGCACACCCACAGAGAGAATGATCATTCATGGAACACCAAGGTCCGGATGCCCTGAAGATGACACGCGCGTGTTATCAGGCCCTGACAGCGCTTGAACATCTCCATGCTGCCAGCTTAGTTGCTTGTGTAGCGGTCTCAATTGTATAATTCACATAGAGTGGGCCAGGGTCCACTTTGACGAGGCGATGCGAGTCATTCATTCTGATGTGAAGCCCTCGAACATCTTTGTGGACGAGAATGGCCGAGCCTATTTAGGTGACTTGGATGTCTCTGTAGACAATGCCTACAGGCGCACTACCAAGTTCTTCCAAGCGAGGACTGCTGGCTGTTATTCTTGCATGATGTAAAGTATACATATATATATATATTGTATTTTCTTTCGATATGCCACCAGCCACCAGCAGCCGGCCACAGTTGACAAGTCAATCATGGGTTTCAGGACTACTCGGACCAAGCTCCGTGGTTTCACTGAGGGCTTTGAAGCTCCAGAAATCTTGGAATCAGGAGCCACTGAGAAATCTGACAGCTATTCGTTTGGAAAGACCTTGGCCACAGTACCCGTTGACAGCGAGCACAGGGAACCCTTGATAGTCCGGATGACGGATGTATCCCCGACGCGGAGGCAGGGTGGGCATGCGATCGTGGAACAACCAACGTCATGCAATTAGGTTTGCAGATTCTCTAGCCTCCGCCAAGGCCGACAGCAGCTGAAGCTTTGTGTCATGCGTTCTTCAAGCAAGTGAAGGAGGAAGCCGAGCATACAGAGCCCTCCACAACATGCCCAGTATGCCTCTATGAGAAGGTGATGTCGAAAGGCATTGTTTGCGGGCGCTCGCACTTTGTCTGTGGAGATTGCTTGAACCAGTACGTGGCAGAGGAGCTTATGTTGTTGCAGGCTGATGAGAATGCTATCGAGCGACATCGAGGGAGTGGGGGCAGGCTGCCCTGCCCTCACTGCAAGCCCTTGGTGATTGAGAACCTTAAGAAAAAACAAGAAGGGATTGAGATCCCAGATGACCAAGAAAGCTTCTATGATGAGAAGACCTTCTGTGATCAGTTGAGTAGGGAGCTGCGAGATCGCTACGATGCTGCCAAGGATAGTGCCAAAGAGTTTGAGATGTGGAGTCGACTTCAGGCCGATTTCCAAGAGAGGCTTCTTAGGATGAAGGCAGAGTTTGAGAAACAGCTTGTGGTCCAGCAAGCAGCTGTGGCATTCAGAGCTTGTGAGGAGGCTACACAAGAGCACTTGAGGCGGCAATATCCAAATGCCTTGCAGTGTCCACAATGTCAGTGCGGACCCGTCCTGCCAGAAAGTTGCTTGGCAGTATCCTCCAGGGCACCCCTGGTTTGCGCTGACACAAAAGAAGGAAAACGGAAGGAACAAGGAGAACACTCGGTTTGAGGCGTTCCAGCAACATGAGGCGTTCCAGAACCCGAATACATATGCTTTGCTAGGACAACAGCTTTGATATGTTTCCCTGAAAGATCATTCCATTCAGTTTCCAGTGCTAAGTAGTGCCTTAGTGATAGAAGACTCCCCTTTTGCTGTAGTCAATTGTAGAGTCGTGTAGTGATAACAAAGTTGTTCCTCATCCCCTTGGACGCTTTGTTCGATTGTATCTCCCCACTTGGACACTTGGATGGACAACGGGAGAGGGTAGCTGGGTGGCGACCGACCAACTGTTTTATTAGGCTCCTAGTTCTTTCGGTCATTGCACTTTCCTCCTTTCCAAGGCTTCCTTGAAGCACCAACCAACCATAAGGGGCTCCTTTCCCCCCCCGTTGCAACCACAACGATGCTCGCTGGTTGCTCTATTCAGCCACTGCCACGGAGGTTAGTTTTTGTATCACAACCTCGAGGTAATCTATATATGCTGTTGCTGAGGACCATACAGAAAAAGTGAACAAGGACTTCGAAAGACCAGAACCACCTTAGCTAGAACAGTAGCTAAGCTGATTGTGCATGGTAGGGCTTTCGACTACACAAGCATCCTGTTATTTGGTTTAAAGAACATCACCATATTTTCTCGCATGTTTTCACATATAGACTGCCGGGCGGACCATCACCGGCCCGTTTCGCCCAGATTGCGCCAACCTGGCAACTCATCATGGCGAAAGGCGCGCCGGAGGCGTCAAGGTGAGCAACGCGTGTCCCAATCCGACATTTGGGCCAAATCAAGAAGAATTGTGGGTGTTGATGGAGGAAATCCTACACCACCTGGATGCACAAAGCATCAAAATAGTTGGACGCAATTCATCTTAGTGAGTCTTTATGGAAATCCTTCGACTCCGTCAGGGGAAGTCCATAGGTTTGGTTTGATTGGTCCCTTTGGTTCCCGCTCCACAAAAGTCCGAAGTGCGCGAGGTTTGGGCGCTGCGTGTTGCGACCCGTCGCCTGCTTTGTTTGGCGAAAAGGATGTGGGTTAGTATTTGAATAGGGAGATCACCTGGCTTCCATCTTTGGGAGGTCTACTCTACATATATATATATATATAATATATACACACACTCATGTGTCGGAGTTCCTTCAAGGGCATTGGCATCTTCCAGGGTTTTCTTGGGTTGTGCAGAGTCATTGCTTTGATCTTTGCAGTTTTGTCCCCTCCTTGCACGCTCTGAGGAAGTGCGGTTTCTTCAGCCGAGAACGGAGCAAATGGGCAAAATGGGATGGCATTTTGCGGTATCCGACACCCTAGAAGATCATACACGAGGAATGCCGTTTAAGCAAGCAGCTTGTCTCAGTTTTTCTTTTCTTTTTGCGAGCTTGGGCACTTGGAGATTTGATGTGGGAACTGGATCCGCTGATGCGGAGACCATTTGCAGGAATTTTTATCCTGTGCCCTTTTTGGGCCCCACACTCACAGCTCAGCTGTGTATAGGCAACTCCTTAAGGGAGGAAACCCTTAGATTTTGCAGCTTGGGTGCTGAAAAGACGCCATTGCATGTGCTCCGGCCGATCCTACAACTTGCAGGCGACAATATCTGGCTTCGCTCAGTAGCGTTCTGACAGATGCAACGGAATCCACGGGCAAAGCCCCATCGCATGGGTGAGCACTGCGCCCAAATCCGGCTGAGGCCACTAACCCTTTGAAGTCCATCCGGGTTGTCCTAGGGCCCAAGTTGTGACTTGGCTGAAAGTAACTTTAGCACAGGTGCTGACTGTACCATGGACCATGTATACGGGATGAGGGTCTGTATAGTCTATATTTTGATTAACGTTAACAACTATAATTGTATGTGTATAATGCAACAATGCCATCCACATATCTGCATGGTATTTTGACACTAAATGGACTGTGCTGGGCTTTTCGGTTGACTTCCGAAAGCAACGACAGATGAGTTGACAGGATTTTGTTTGATCCGCAGCGAGAAAAGATGCATCCATATGAGCAGCGTGCTCACCTTTGTGGACGCTGGTGGCAGGTTCAACCTGATCATCGTTGGCACCTTCTTGGGGTGCTCAATGGTGACGACCTTTCTGCTCCGAGCTCAGTCAGTTGAGAGCAGGGCAGCAGGGTGCAGAGTCTTTGCCTGACAGGCTAAGAGCACGGAGGTGAACGGGCACAGAAACACTATATACATAGGGAATAGCCTTGAAGATCAAGAGTAGATCAGTTGTTAGAAGTAGCCCCAGGGGGATGAGCCGGGGATGAGAAGGTTTGGGGTGGGATTTGGAGGGTGAGTGGGTGAGCCCGTATCTTCGGATGTAGACGATTTGGATCCTCAGGGAGTCCGTGAGTCCAGTTGGAGAATCCATCCAAACCCATTGTTTCGTAACATTTTCTGGCCAACTCAGGGTCATCCTGACGATCTTCCACACACAGCAGATCGTTCTGGTCCAGTCCACAGGCTACGCGGGCGCGTTGGATGGAGAAGGATCCTTCCTGGCTGGCTGTCCCAAAAAAGAGGATCCCTTTATGCACTAGTAGTTGAGTCAGCTTAAGCAACATGGGAACCGGTTTGGAAAGATTTGTGTGTTCCACTAGTAGCTAGACCAAAAACCTGTTTCGATCTTCGTTGACAGCTTTGGTCGATTTGTCCGGTCTTGCGGGTTCCGATGTGAAACGGTTTGTGCATCCGAAAACAACAGGTAAGACACATGTAGCGTGACTCTCGTTCCCTTGAGTTCGGGTGTTGGAATGTGAAATCCTTCCTTCAATTTCTGGGAGGCCTCCCGGTTTTCTAGGGCACGAGGCTACCAACACCCAGACGCTAGTGTCTTGTATTTTCATTATGAAGCCACGTGGTTTTCCTACTTGGAGAGCGGTGTCGTTCAAGTCTTAGAAAAGCCTGCTACAAATCAAATGGTGCATGAAACTAGCTACCAAAGTCACCTTCAAGTTTCATAGAGTTTTCGAACACACAGCCTGTTTTTGAACCCACTTGATCCATGGCTTCAACCTTTGCTTTGTTCATCGCTTCATGGTCGTCTGACCGTGCAACTCCACAACGAAGCAATCTGCTTCCATGACGGCATCTCCGATCCACCAGCCACGGCACGTGAGGCTGACAAGCGCGGTGAGCGGAGACGCCCCCGTGAAGCATTGGTGGAGAATGCGGTCATTGGTTTATGAGGTAAAGCTCCAGGGGTGACATGGCTTTGTGATGCTTTATGAATGGGATCCCATCTCATGAGATCACAAACCTTGGGGGGGGCAGATCTCCAAAGCCTTTTGGTCTATTGATTCATGTTGGGAAGTTGTAACGGATTGACATTTCCTTTTCTTTTGTTCGGACCAGTATGACTTGCACCACCTGAATCGAAGGACTGCGGCTCACAGCAAACAACTGGTGAACCAGACGTGATAAGGTTCTTGGCGGTTCTTGTGAAGGTGATTTTTCAATCTTCCTACCTCTATATAGTAGTAGCCTAGCACTTAGAATATTTACCCTTTCACTTCACCGTTATAAAGAAATAGAGACGGAGGTCTGGGTGAAAAACGATGCAGATAGAATATCCCTATGCAGATAGAATAGTTCAACATGCACATAGAATATTATGCACCAACGGTTTTAGTATCTCTTTTTGAACACCGATTGATTGATGGCTTTATACTCTTGTCTTTCTGTTTGAATTTTTCAGATGCACAGTCGTTCCAACTGGGGAATATTCTAACTGCAAGAATGTAAGACCCAGTGGTTCAAGAAAATCAGGTATTCTACCTGCATACCCTTAATTTCTGAGTATTCTAACTGCTGGCCTTCTACTACGGTTACGCCATTAAAATATGTGGAGGGCGGCCCAAGGTTGACCCTCCCGGAGGTAGTGTATAATTCCTATTCTGTCCGTATGTTTGGGGGCGACGGGCGGCTCCGCATATTTAAATGTGCAGTTCCTTCATCATTCACAACAAAAAAACAGCAGGATTGCTGGGCCTTATGTGGGGACCTTGGCTCCGCGCTAGACACCTCTCACAGTTTTTGCAATTGACGCGCCTTCATGTTTAACATCCCTGTGCTTTGAGTGCGGTTGGAGCTTAAAGGAGACTTAGAAGCCGGCCCCGACGGAATTGCGATGAGTGCACCATTTTGGGAAAAGCCGTTTTGGAAACCAACCATGAGGGATCCACGTAGGGGGGTCCACGTAAGAGAGTCCACGTAGGGGGCTCCACCTAGGGGGGTCCACGGGTCCTAGCGGGCTCCACGCAGGGGGTCCACATAAGCAGGGTCCATGTAATGAGAGTCCACGTTGGGGCTCCACGTTGGTCCACATAAGCAGGGTCTATGTAAGAGAGTCCAAGTAGGGGCCTCCACATGGGACCGGCCAAGGCCTCCACGTGGGACCGGTGAAGGCCTCCACGTGGGACCGGCCAAGGCCTCCACGTAGGACCGGTGAAGGCCTCCGCGTAGGACCGGTGAAGGCCTCCACGTGGGACCGGGGAAGGCCTCCACGTGGGACCGGTGAAGGCCTCCACGTGGGACCGGTGAAGGCCTCGACCGGCCAAGGCCTCCACGTGGGACCGGTGCAGGCCTCCACGTGGGACCGGTGAAGGCCTCCACATGGGACCGGCCAA